GCAGTGGATGGACCTAATCTGTGGATCAGTATGAGGGGCGAGCTGTGGAAGGCGTCGGCCGAGCAGTGCCGACCAGCGACTTCCGAGGAGCAGCTGGCAAAGGAGCTGCTTGCAGGAGAGCTGGAAGCTCTTCGTGAAGAGTTTGTGCGTGGCCAGTTGAAGCGCTCCTATAAGGACATCAGTGATGGTGGTCTTCCTGATGATGATGATGATGGTGGAGATGGTGGAGACGATCCTGATCTACTACAACCCTCAAGGCGCCAACGTGTGCAGTTTGAAGATGCCTCGCAGATTCCAGTTCCAGATGGAGGTGAGGAGGAGTTGGACTACAGTCCTTCCGAAGGGGGCTCAGGAGAAGTGACTAGTAATGTTGAAGAGGGGCCCGAGCGCGAGGTGTCAGCGGCGCCACTTGATCTACTACCACCAGAGCTGGACAATGCAACAGCTGAGGCTGTGCAGCACAATGAAAGACTGGACGGAAATGGTCCAGGAACTCCCTCCTACGATGCAGTGCGGAAGCTCATGAAGCACCAGCCCAGCAAGCCCTACTACCACGAGGCAAGGCGGGCACCGGAGGGTGGTTCAAGTCAGGCATGGTTCTCTCTGGAGAAGGAAACTGGTTGGGTGTTTGAAAGTGACGCATGGGAGGAAGTGTCCAACGATGTGATGATTCGACACCACAAACTTCCTCGAGCCCAACTGTGTAACCCAAACAAGGTTCGGGGAATGACTATGTCGAGGAGACTCAAGCACCGTCATACCTTTATGTTCTTCGATGACGGGAGCATGGATGTTCGTGTGGATAACTGGTTCAAGCAGCGCAAGAAGCCTCATGCCATGAGTCAGAGTTGGGTTGGCTTCACTGTGTTCAGCAACCGGGTGATCAACACGGAGGCCTTTGCGAGCAAGCCCAGAGGCCAAGGCGAAGTGTTCGACCATGAGATCAAGCCCGAGGACCGTCCAGAGTGGGATGAGTCAGATTTGCAGGAGTGGCAGAAGGTCGAGAGCACTGGTGCTATCAGGGTACTTTCCTTGGATGAGTCAAGGAAGGTTCGGTCCGAACTGGTGGCGGCCGGAAAGCAGGATAGGATACTCCCATCGAGGATGGTGAGGCGCTTCAAACCGGCAGATCAACCGGGCCAGCCGGACAGCAAGAAATCGCGCTGGTGTATACGGGGCGATTGCGATCCAGATTTGTTGGAGCTCGACCGCTACAGTCCGACGATCAACACGACTACTTTCGGAGCTGTGTTGCAGATAACTGCCAGCATGCGCTTTGCTGCATGCGTTGGCGATCTTCGCAACGCTTTCTGCCAGAGTGGGGTCTTACTTCGGAAAGGTGGCAAGCTTTACGCAGCACAACCTCGCCACGGAATTCCAGGACTTCACCCAGAACAAATTGTGGAAATAGTCGCCGGAATGTACGGACTAGGCGACGCGCCGGCTCACTGGCGCCGTACATTGAAACAGGAGATCCTCAAATTGGGATATCGCGAAAGCACTTTGGATCCCACGATTTATGTGCTTCATCGGGAGCTTTGCGATGGTGAACAACAGTGCGAGTGGTTAAAGGCTGTGCAGGACGAGCCCGAGCCAGTGCGCGAACCCAAGGTGCTGTCAGGGGTGATCGCGGTTGAGGTGGATGATTTGTTTACCTGTGGAGACTCCCACCATGACGAGCAGGTCACCAAACTTCAAAGGACCTTTAAGTTTGGCAAATTCGAGAAGCTCATGGAAAGCAGCACGGGTGTGTCGTTCAATGGGCGACGGATCAAGCAGAATGCTGATTATGGCCTGGACATCGACATGTTGAAGTTCGTTCAGGAGAGGTTGTCTCCCGTGTCATTGGCCAAAGGGAGAAAGTCGGATCCGAAGGCTTTGGCAAATGACTCAGAAAAGGGTCAGCTCAGAGCGGTTATCGGGTCGCTAAACTGGTGTGCTCGAGAATGCCGACCAGACGCAGCAGCTGCAGCTTCATTGGGTGCAGCAAGTTTCCCAGCACCTACTATCCAGGATGTGCTGGATGTGAACCGTGCGGTGGAGCTAGTGAAAGGCAAGCCCGAGCTCAGCATCAAGATTCAGCCGATTCCCTTGGATGCTTTATGTTGGGGTGTGGTGAGTGATGCGAGCTACGCTAACGCACACAGTGGAGGCTCTCAAGGAGCCTACGGCATCATCGCCTACCACCAGGACTTGCACGAGGGCAAGCGGGTTCCGTGTTCTTTGATTTCGTGGAAGAGCGGACGGATTCAGAAGGTTGTGAACTCTACGCTTGCAGCAGAAACACAAAGTCTTTCAAAGGGCTTAGGCGAGCTTTGTTGGGTCGTCTCAGTGTTTAACGAGTTGGTAGACTACGACTTCGAGCTTGTGAAGTGGGAAGAGACGCTCAAGCGGAACCGAGTTGTGACAATCGGTTCAGAAGAAGCCGATGAGCTTCTTAAACAGAGTCTGTGCATTGTGGACGCCAAGGCCCTGTACGACCACCTCAGCCGAGAAAGTGTTGGACCATCTCAAGACAAGCGCACAAGTCTGGAGATTCAGGTGGTGAGGCAGAATATGAACTCCATCGGGGCAAAAGTTCGCTGGGTTCCCCATACTAAGATGATCGTGGACGGCCTCACGAAGAAGGGTGCATGCCTGGATGCGATGTACGAGTTGCTCAACACCGGCACCTACCAGATTGTGGCAGAAGCTCAGTCGCTGCAAGATCGACTCGATGAGCGTGTACAGCGCGGGTATAACCGCCGATGATTGTGTAGCGAGCTTTCAGGAACGATTCTCTGGGGGCTGTGATAATGCTCTCTGATTGGTGTGTACAGCGCTTCCTGAAAGCACTCGCTTGTGGGCCGCCGTATGTGGCTCAAACCACAGGGGCCCCTTGATGTCACTTGGCACGCTGTATGGAATTGCAGGCGAAAAGCCGGAGCGCGAGTGTGTCGCGCAGCTTTGACTTCGGTGTGTGCGAGATCGAGTTTGGATTCAGTTTTCAGAGCCGCCTGTGTTCCACACATGCTGTGTCGTCGCAGCACATCGAGTTTGCTTTCAAGGTCCTCGGTAGAGGAGGCAGATCGCATCGATGGATCTTGGAATAAGTGGCAGCGGCAGCAGTGGGGCTGGAAGCGCAAATGGTGGTCGCGTGGACGCCAGGGCTACTACAGCTACGGCAGCTACGGAGGGAATCCCACCACAAGGACAACGACCGAGCCGTCACCGCCGCCTGCGGGAAAGGTTTTGCTTTGTGAGGATGCAGAGCCACAGTCCCCACGAGATCTCACTCCTACGTTCGTGGGTGGCCTGGAGGCCCGGGTGCGTCCCTTGGACGGCGACGCCACCCCACGTTTCATCCAGGCCAATCTCCACTTCCACCTCGGCGCCGAGCACAAAAGCAATATCACCAACAACTACTTCCAAAGCGCCGAGGACGTTGGGCTCGCAACTCCTCTGGTGCGCCCGGCATCGTCCCCGGACATCCGTGCAGGCTTCTTCTGCGGCCTGGATGATGTGAGCAGCGACGATCGGGACTCCTACAACTTCGTGCACTGCAATGGGGTCAGTGTGAACTACACCTACGAGTTCCACTGGGTGTACTCCACGGGTGCGCCGCTCGTCGGTCTCCGTGACGAAGGGGCCGAAGGTGAGCTGGGAATCACGGACGGTCTGGCAGGCGCCGCTGCCCGCACGATCAACCCAAAGGTGATCGTCCGGGGTCAAGTCTGCCGGATCATCTACAACAAGAGCCTGACGGACGTGGACGCAGACTATGATAACTTCCTTCAAAAGTGGCGCCAGCCGCCAGAGACACGGGGAGTCCGCTACCTCGGCTCCACCACGGGCACGGACTTCAACAACTCGGTCTGCTCGCCTCTGGAGGTGAACTGGCATGTAGACACGGAGTGCTGCACTCTCTCCGCGCAGACCTTCGACAGGTGGCCCGCCTGATTGGATTGCCACAGCTTGCCTTTTCGTTCCTTTTAATGCAATGCTCCAAGGCTCTGCCTTGAGATGAGTCGCCACTCTGCCAGAGTTTAACGCGGTGTTTTGCTTTAGCACGCATCCATATGCAGCCTTCAGATTCAGCCTTCTGTGCAGGCCAAGGCTTGGAGAAGGACCTTGCACCGAAGCCATCTCGGGAACTGGCCGCTTGGCACGAGCAGTGAGACCCAAGCTTCCGAAGGCTGCATCATGTCACAACCGTGGCCGGGTAAGTCTGAGGTGAGCCGAAACCTCTCCAGCGTGGTGACCTACCCTCTGGCTGTATCGCCCATACCAGAAATTCTTCAGTGAGGCGTCCTATAATGCAGCCCTTGATGAACCAACCATTGAGTTCGCGACGGGCCACGAGCCTGGGTGACGGCCCAGAACTTTTAGAACCCGCCCGTCTGTGCATTTTTGTGGATGGCCCTTTAGCCATCGAGGATCTCGCCAGGCTTGGCAGTGGACCCAAGTCCAGCCGGGCTTGCCGCGAGTCCTTCTCCGCAGGGTTTGCCTGTGGCCAGACCACCAAAGTCTTTTTCGTTTACTTGTCAAGAAGGCAGAGCTTTGCACGGAGAGAGCTTTTCAGCCCCTTCTCCGACTTCATCCTGTTGTGGAATCGCGTAGCCCGCGATCATGCAGACAAGGCGAAAAGGTTACGTGGAAGCAGCCAGCAGCTCTGCGTCGTGAGGGAGTGAATGCCCCGGATGCGCGGCAGGTCTGCCCGCTGTTGACCTCAATTCAGAGCCTCGCTTAGAGCCCGTTGACGAGACCGCGTGTGGAAGTGTGTTGCCATGTATCTCTTCCTCCTCTTCGCTGCCGCCAGCGCCCTTCCCAAGGACTTTTTGACGAGATCAACTCTAGGATTCTAGGGAGGGAGAAAGAGGCAAAGACCAGTGCGCTCGGCTCCTCTGCTCTCATCCTCTCTCCGGAGTGCAACAGGGGCCAACAGAGGGCAACGAATCCTGATGGGGCGGGGTACAGAGCCTTGCTCCAGTTTTACCGCCTCGTCGCGTGAGCTCCATGATATGTCGCGCACCGGTGGCTGTTCGTGGGCGGGGCCGCTGGACGTCTGGGACATGTCCTGGCAGGACTGCACGCAGTGCCAGGTCGAGGACTCCGCATTGATGCAGCCGCTGAGAGCATAATGATAGGCTGAGCGGATGTAGATGGGGATGGGGCGAACTCGCCAGACTTCGGGTAGCTCCCAGGTTCAAGAAGCACGCCAGCTTGCGGCCATCGAGCTCTCTGCCCCAGTTCAATCCTTCGCAGCTTGAACTGCACTCGGCACGTCTGTGAACCCTACCCCCATCCCATTGCTCCCTTCCGAGGCTCTTGAGCAACTCTACCGAGACATCCAACGAGACGGCAAAGATTTTGCTTTGTGAGGATGCAGAGCCACAGTCCCCACGAGATGTCACTCCTGGCTTTCGGGGTGGCCTGGAGGCCCGGGTACGTCCCTTGGACGGCGACGCCACCCCACGTTTCATCCAGGCGAACCTCCACTTCCACCTCGGCGCCGAGCACAAGAGTGAGGTCCCGAACGGTTACTTCCGCAGCGCCGAGGACGTTGGGCTCGCAACTCCTCTGGTGCGCCCGGAGTCGTCGCCGGACATCCGTGAAGGCTTCTTCTGCGGCCTGGATGATGTCAGCAGCGACGATCGGGACTTCTACAACTTCACATTTTGTAAGGGTGTCAGTGTGAACTACACCTACGAGTTCCACTGGGTGTACTCCACGGGTGCGCCGCTCGTCGGTCTCCGTGACGAAGGGGCCGAAGGTGAGCTGGGAATCACGGACGGTCTGGCAGGTGCCGCGAACCGCACGATCAACCCAAAGGTGATCGTCCGGGGTCAAGTCTGCCGGATCATCTACGACAAGAGCTTGACGGACGTAGACGCAGACTATGATAACTTCCTTCAACAGTGGCGCCAGCCACCCTTGGGGAGGGCCGTGCGCTACATCGGCTCCACGACGGGCACGGACTTCAACAACTCGGTCTGCTCGCCTCTGGAGGTGAACTGGCATGTAGACACGGGGTGCTGCACACTCTCTGCGCAGACCTTCGACAGGTGGCCTGTCCCTGTTTTGGCCGGTGGGCGGTTTCCCAGAGGTTCCAGTAGATCGTAGATCAGGTCTGATATCGTCATCCTTAAATGGGGAGCCTGTCGTGATCTGAGGCTGTGCGAAAAGATGGAAGGCTGGGGTTCTCTGGATAGACTCCCCTTTTTGTTCCATCCCACTCGCTGCAGAGCTTGCAAACATGTGAACCTGTCTGATGTGGCGAAGCTGCCATCCATGTTGCCAGGACAGGGTCTCTCCAAGGACCTTTCGCCCAAGCCTTCGCGAATACTCGCCGCCCGGCTGTAGCTTGAGGATGGAAAGCTGGCAGCCTGGAGCCCATGTGAAGCAGTGAAGCAAGGTCAGTCAGGAGATCTCGGCCGGAGTAACCTTCCCACTGTCACCGTCTCCCGTCTCCTGAGCCAGCAGAACCTTGAGAGTGTTCCACCTGGGTCTTGGCGAGTCTGGGGATGATTGCTCCTCAGGAACTTTTAGAGCCAGAGTCAGCATCAAAGTTTTAGGGTTGTATTTCGAGGCATTTTTGTGGATGGCCTATTAGCCACCTTCCTGGGCTGTGGCCGGCTTGGCAGTGGACCCAAGTCCAGCCGAGCTTTTGCAACCTCAGGAAATTCACCACCTTGAAGCTTGACGTTGAAGCACGGAAGCACGTATCCGACATCCCACGTCACATCCACAGCACAAGCTTCACGGCTTGCGTCTGCATGTATTTCGAGCATTGGGAGCTGAGTGACCCAGCCTGCTCACAAAGCTATACGTGCCGACCTCGACCTACCTATCTCCATGTCTACGCAGTTCATGTGCTACACAGAGATACTACGCACTGTTGTGGAGTCACAATTTCAGTGAACACACAGAGCACCAAAGAGAATGCTCGTCCGCCGCTGATGTCAACTCCCGTGTAATCGCCTTGCACTGCTTTTTGAGGGGAAGGGCCGCAAGTGCGACAGGCTTTTGCAGACGGTACGACATGAGAATGTCGGATGTGATGCGCAGATGTCAGTGCCGCGGAGACGTTTGCTCAAGTTGTGTAGCAAAGGAAGGTCTCAACTAGACTTGCGCCATGCAGCTCTCCAACCTCTTTCTCTGCTGCCTGGTTTGGGAGGCTCGCGGCGCTGATCTTCTCTGCCAGGAGCCACTCGCGTTGGCGAGCGCAGCGCTGGGATGTTGCGGCTGTATGCTGCTGTGTCGGTGCAGGACGCTGAGCCTCAAGCTCCGCGGGACGTAAGTCCGGGCTACATTGGCGAGAGGATCACGAGGCCTCGAAAAGTGCGCGGACGCTGTCTTGAGCTGCAGCTCCGGCGTGCTTCTGAGGTACGAACCCTATGGCTCCGATCAGATCGACAGGCACCTGACGCCAGCCCGTTGCTCTTGAGGTTCTTGCTCTTCACTCTTTACCTTAAGTCTTCAGGTTCGAGCAAGTGAACATCCACTGGCATCTGGGGGCGGAGCACCGCATGGAGAACGCGTATGACAGGCGGTCTCCAGAGTGGGTGCCCAGGCTGCACCGTGGCCCACTAGCGTGTCACCACAGAGATATCTGTCGAGAAGGCGAGCTACGTTACCGTGCCGGATGAGAACAACGTTTCCCAGCCGGTGGTCCCTGGCTTGTGGTGCCCCACAGACGGCCACGAGGCAACACATGTTTTCGGATTCTGGGTGCAAGTGAGGGGTCGCAGTGGCAGTTGAGGTATCGACGACGCCAAGCTGGACGAATCCTCCTTCAGCTTCACCTACTGCAAAGCTGCACAAGTCGGTGGCACGTGCCACCCGCCCCGAACTCTCCCTCCCTCCCTTCACGCTTGCGCAGAGGTGAGGTGCCAAGTCGAGTGTAGCCCAGCGCTCCATAGGTACGAGTTCCACTGGGTCTTCTCTACTGGAGGCGTGTGCGGCACACGCAGCACGGCTGATTCGTGGATGCGGGTGACGGCTTTGCACATGAGGACCGGGCAAGCTGCAGGAGGATGGTAGCGAGGGGGAGCTGGGCATCACGTGCCTGTGCTGCAGATCTTGGAGAGTGCCTCAGCATGGGGCGAGCGCAGCATGCAAGATATCTCGGTAGGGCCGGCTTGGGCGGCGCCTTCACGCGCACCAACAACGCAGATGTCATCGTCCGGGCGCAGGCACGGTGACCGCCGAGTGTGCAAATCCTGTCGCGTATCGTGGATGCTGCATGATGCTGCAGCGTGTGCAGATCTGCCTCATCGTCAACGACCCTTCGCTGGACCGCCAGCATGCCGAGCTTTAATTTCTGCGGATCTGCGCTAGCCGGGCCCGAGTGATCATTGCTGGGCTGGTTTTCGGATGCGCATCTGAATCTGTGCATCTGCTGCCCTGCAGAACGATTACGTGGATGCCCAAAACCGGACATTCCTGGAGCAGTGGCAGCAACCTCCTGCCGGCTCCGCTGTGCGGTACGTGGGCTCCACCACTGGGCCCTCTTACGACGACGAGGACTGACGTGGTGTCATGCTGAGGCTATGCCTCCACATTTGCTGCACCAGTGGCTCTAGCCGGCAGCTGGCAGGTCTGCTCGCCGGTGGAGGTGAACTGGCACGTGGACCAAAGGTGCTGCATCTTGTCCGCTCAGGCCATGGACAACCTCTGCAAGGAGCTCCCGCATGGCCTCTGTGCTGCTCTTTCTGCGCATTTGGTGTTTTGATGTGTCTTGTGTCAGGACATGATAGATGCTGGGCTGGAGGCCGACGTCTCGCCGAAGGGCTCACGCCGGCCCGTGGACCGACGCTGGGTCTCGGATGTGCCTCCGCCTTCACAGACTTTCTTTCATGGGCATCGCGTGTCGCACGTGTCACGGCACGTGCGTCGGACGTCACGAGGTGACCTTCCCGCTGGTCCCGCAGGGTGCCGGCATCGTGCAGCAGCGCTAGGGGCGGCTGCATCCGAAGATGGAATGCAAACTGCTCTCCAGACTTGTGGAGTTTGCGACGGGCCAGCGAACTTGGGTGACGGCCCAGATCTTTTAGAACCCGCCCGTCGCACTGTGCATTTTTGTTGGATGGCCCTTTAGCCATCGAGGATCTCGCCAGGCTTGGCAGTGGACCCAAGTCCAGCCGGCTTTCCGCGAGTCCTGCTCCGCAGGGTTTGCCTGCGGCCCCACTCAGATTCTCTTAGCTTCAAGTGTTTCGTTTACTCTTCAAGAAGGCAGAGGTACACGATTGCACCTCCTAATTTGTCAAGACGGAGGAGAGGGCTTCGCAGCGATGGTCTCCCAGGTCGTCCTGCTGTGCAATGTTGATTCAGGGCAATGCAGTAGTCTTTTCACTAATTTGCATATCCCCGTTTTGAACAAAGCGCTGTTGTGGAGTCACAACCTCGGTGAACACGCAGAGCACGAAAGAGAACGTCTTGGGCATCTTTTGAGGGGAAGGGCCGCAAGTGCGACAGGCTTTTGCAGACGGTACGACATGAGAATGTCGGATGTGATGCGCAGATGTCCGTGCCGGCGACGTTTGCTCAAGTTTTGTAGCACGGGAAGATTTGAAATAGATTTGCACCATGCAGCTCTCTAAACTTTTTCTTTGCTGCCTGGTTTGGGAGGCTCGCGGAGCTGATCTTCTCTGCCAGGAGCCACTCGCGTTGGCGAGTGTAGCGTGTTGGGATGTTGCCGCTGTTTGCGGCTGTGTCGGCGCAGGACGCTGAGCCTCAAGCTCCGCGGGACGTAAGTCCGGGCTACGTTGGTGAGAAGATCACGAGGCCTCGAAAAGTGCGCGGACGCTGTCTTGAGCTGCAGCTCCGGCGTGCTTCTGAGGTACGAGCCCTATGGCTCCGATCAGATCGACAGGCACCTGACGCCAGCGCGTTGCTCTTGAGGTTTTTGCTCTTCACTCTTTACCTTAAGTCTTCAGGTTCGAGCAAGTGAACATCCACTGGCATCTGGGGGCGGAGCACCGCATGGAGAACGCGTATGACAGGCGGTCTCCAGAGTGGGTGCCCTGGCTGCACCGTGGCCCACCAGCGTGTCACCACAGAGACATCTGGCGAGAAGGCGAGCTACGTTACCGTGCCGGATGAGAACAACGTTTCCCAGCCGGTGGTCCCTGGCTTGTGGTGTAGCACATTTATGTGCGTAGGGACAACCGTCGAATCGACGTGGATGCTGCAGCCGCTGTCTGCTCCACGTCCCCCGACGATTTTCAGCTTTCCGGTAGATCCCCTCGACGCCATGGCCTTCCAATCCGCCGACGTCGTCGCCGCCTTGGACATGGTGCGACGAGCCGTCGCCGCCGGCGACGATCTCAGTCAGATGTTCGCCGAGTGGAGTGGATTGGAACGGCGGGCCCTGGTGGCGGCGATCAACAGTCCAGCTGCCGCCCCGGGGCCCGTCGTATATGGCGACTCGTCGAGGGCGACACCGGCGAGTTCAAGTGGAGCGGCAGCCGCCACGCCGGCGCCGTCGGACGACCCCTGCCCGGAACCTCCTGTCGACAGACAGCAAGCGCCTCCCTCGGCGCACGCAGGAGGTTCCGGGGCACCGTCGTCCCCGGCAGACCTTCCGCCGGCAGGAAAGCCGTCGGGTGGTGGATATCCGGCCAAGCCCACCCGTCCGGCGCCGTCGGTGCCGAAAGGCGGCCCGCCACAGATGTGGGACCAGCTGGGGTTCCTCTGTCGCGCCGACGCGGAGCTGGCCTACAAGCACCACCTCCCGACGGCAGAGGAGTATTACCGGCGCTACCAGACGGTACTGCCGGATCGCATCACCCCGGCGACGGTGATCCCAGTGGCGCCGCCGTCGGCGCCGAAGGCTCCGTCGTCCTTCCCGTCGGTGCCCCAGCCCGTCGACTACCAGGACCGCATTGCCGAGGAACTCCGTCGGCAATTCGCGGAAGAGTCGAGGCTGCAAAGCACCGTCGAGCCACAGGTGAAGGCGAGGCCAGCTGCTTCGGCGCCGTCGCCGCCGGCACCGTCGGGATCGTCTCGCAGGGCACCGTCACCAACGCCGCAAGAGATTTATCCCGACGCGGACCCGGTGACAGGTGCCGGATTCCCGTTGCTTCCCCGGCGGCCCGGCCCGGGTGCAACCCCCGCCGAGATGGATCGGCACAAGAGGGAGTTCCGGCGGGTGGCCCACATTCGCCGGATGCTGTGCTCGCAGGCGTGGCGCGACCACGTCGCCGTCGTCAACATGACTGGCGCCAGGTCCGACGTCGAGCTGCCCGAGTCCCTCCAGCAGCTCACCGTCGCCAACCTCGAGCACCTCGAGCACATCGAGCGAGCCGCCGCCGACGGCTCAGGCGCCATGGTGCCGGCATCCGCCGCGGCAGCTTACTATGTGCTGCGCGCCTTGCCGCCCGGCGTTCGAGGAGGCCGCGTGCCGGAGAAGATCCCCGGCGAGATTTGGTGCACGGGCTGGTGTGGGCACCCGTGCACCAACCCGGGCTGTCGCGGCACCCCCGGCAGATGCCTCCGGCCGGTGCTGATCAGAGCCGGCGGAACCGTCGACCTGGACCGCCACGACCACCACGAGTGCGAGGACTGCCATGAGCAGTCCAAGCACCGTCGCTGATCCAGGTCAGCCGGCCCCCCGTCGCTATCTCCCCGTCGCCGTCTTCTACATGGTCGACCTCACCGACGGCCCTGTCGCTGGCGACGTGGGAATTAGAGCTTTTGGGGGTGCGTCGGTGAAGCCTTCGCGGACCTCTCCCGACGCCTTAATTTAATTTCTTTTCTGCCCGGCGTCGTAATCGCCCAGGGCCCGGATCAGAGCTGATCAAGCGCCGCCGGCGCGAGAAAGGAGAGCAGCCGTCGCAGTGCAGTCTGTCATGCTTGCCCGTCGTTCGTCGTGCACCTGTTTTTCTTTTACCTTTTTCTTTAGGAGGTTCGGTTGGCTCGAGGCGCCAAGGCCGGCGCACGCCTAGGCCCCTTTGGCCCATGCGGCCCCGCCGGGGACAGACGGCGGACTTCGGTCGGCTGGTGAGGGCATTCGTCGAGCTGGGGGCTGTTGCCGACGGTGGGCGCCGTGGACGTCGACTCCGCCCTCGCCCGGGCCTCGGCGTTAGTCACAGCTGGCGTCCCGGCCACGGTCCTCGAGGCCCTCGCCGGTTGGAGGTCCCGTCGGGAAGGGGATCCTCCCTCCGCCTCGGCTAGCCAGCCCGAAAGGGGCGACGGTCCCCAGGAGCGGCCCCGTCGAATCAGATCGTGCCGGCGGGGCCCGCGATAGGGCCCTCCGCGACGGCCGTAGTACCGACCGACGGTCCAGTAGTGGCCCGGCGACGGTTCGCGGACCAATCCCGCCCCCAGCGACGGTCTCCGACCGGCCGGCGGAAAAGCGGAAGGACATCCCGCTCAGGAGGGACACCCCCCGTCGAGCGTGCAAACGCACCGCCTTTGAAGCAGCCCTCCGGCAGGGAGGCGGCGCTGGCGGAAATCGACGAGAACATCCTGGCGAAGTCGTCCCAGGCACCCTTCCAGTCGAGAGTCCGCACGTGGCAGGAAGCGTGCGAGACTTGGGCCGTCGCTCCCTGGCCCATCTCGGCGGAGGCGGTGCGGAAGGTTGCCGCCACTTTCCGTCGAGGCGGCTATCGCTCCGTCCAGAACTATTTCGACGCCGCCGTGTCATACCAGGAACAGTTTCGCGGCGAGGCCGTCGACCCCCTCATGCGACGCTATGCCCGGGCAGTGGTCCGCGGCTTGCCCGGCTCGAAGCTGAAGGCCATCTTCGCCGTCGACCGCCTGGTGGCCCTGGTCTCCAGGGGGGACCCGCCGGGGGCCGAAGCGTGGAGCCCATGGGTCACGGCACACGCCGTCGACGCCCTTATCCTGGCGGTGTGGTTCATGCTCCGCGAGATCGAGTTCTCAGCGGCGCGGACGCAGGACATCGATGTCGCCGACGGCACCGTCGCCCTCCGGCTTCCCCTGCACAAGACCGCGACCGGCGGCGAGGTCGAGTGCTGGCGGCGGGGATCCAGCTGACCACCACCGACCACAACGGCGCCACCGTCCAGCTCTTTAACGGCCGGCGCAGCGTGGCTGGCGTCCAAGGGCGTCAACACGCCCATCATCCAGCTGCTGGGCCGATGGTCTTCGGCCGCCGTCGAGCGGTACGTCCAGGCAGCGCCGCTGGCAGTCGCCCCGGACGTCCCCCGACGCATCCTGGCGGAGGACGTCGAGATAGTCAGCGTCCGGCCGGCGTATGGCGACGCCATCTCGCAGGCCAGGGCCCCACCGGCTCTCGGCCATCAGCCGCCGCTGGCCCTGGAGGATGGAGAGCCGGCCCAGGTGGAGGCGCCGCCGCCCGAGGATCACTCCCCGGCGGTCGTGTTCGAGCCCGGCCCCGTCAGACCCGAGACGGTGAAGCAGGTCGCCGTCGCGCCGCCGGAGCACCTCATTTACAATGAGCGGCAGAAACGGGCTCACGCCCCTGACCCGACGGAGGCCTCGTCGGACCGCTTCCTGTGGAAAGCGCGGGGTTGTTCCTGGCCATACGGCGTCCGGAGTTTTTATAGGATCACCGAGCTACCGGCGGGTGCCGCCAAGTGCCTTAGGTGCTTTCCGAAGGCCCCGTCGGCTGACGGTGTCGGGTCGCCGACGGAGGAGGCAGCCTCCCCAGTGGCATCCAGCTCAGATTCCGACGGTTCGTCGTCGTCCTGAGAAAAGGGACCGGCGCCGTGCACTTGGTGAGCCCGTCGCTGCGCACTGTGCTTCTTGTTTCGTGCCGCATTTGACCGCACCGCCCTTCCATCCCCGCCGGCCCCCCGTCGTGATCATGGCTATGGGTCCGCAGCTCGTCGCCGACGTCCTGACCGACTTCGACGACCTCGCCACGTCGGCGGGGGCGGGTCCGGACCTCGTCGCGTACCTGAAGGCGCGGTCCCTCAACCGCACGGCCACCCTCGCCCTCGTCGCCGACGAGTGGGCCGACGTGGACGCGAGGGTCTTTCAGCCGTTCCGCGACGGCGACGAGATCGCCGGGACGACCTACAAAGCGTCGCCGGCGGAGCAGCCGGTCGTCCGGGCGATCATCCGCCACATGTGGTCGGAGGCCCGGCGGCAGTGGAACGAGTTCTCCAC